AAAACGCGTTTATGCCAAGACTCGAGCTTTCAACAACAACTAACCATTCATTGCACCTTATTAAAATCAGCAGGGTGTGGCTTTGTATCGAATACATTTCTGACTTTTGAATTCATGCATTTTCTGGCGCATTTTAATGGGTATAATGTTGGACATACAAACTTTTTCCAATGCTGGTAATTTCAGCGACATTTCCATAGTGTTCACATGAGTTTATATATTGAGTTTATAGATGCAAGAAACCCCAGAACAAGAATATTCTGTCTAGTCTAGAAATACTTGACCTAAAAATGAGCATGTGCTGTAAATGTGTTCACTCTCAGGCCATCCAAGGATGAGTGTGTTTCTTCATCAGGTTTGTAGAAATGTAGCATTGCATCAGTGTCTCAGCAATGGATGCTCTGCAGTGAATGGGTGCCGTCAGAATGAGAGTCCAAACGGCCGATAAAAACATCACAATAATCCACAAGTAATCCACAGCACTCCAGTCCATCAGTTAACATCTGGAGAAGACAAAATCTTTAAAGTTTTGGACTGTTTTGGCTTGTAAACACTGCTTGATCTGTGCAGATTTCTCTCCTGATTCAGACCAGAACACTTTTTCACTGGAGGAAGCATTATTATGGATTATAGACTCGTATTTTTGCCAGAAGCAATGGTTTGAAGATAAAAACGTCTTAATGATGGATTTGATTCTTACAAACACACAGCTTTTGGCTTCACAAGGCATTAAAGGCACAATATGTAAGATTTTTTAATTAAAATATCCAAAAACCACTTGAACAGTGTTATATATTTTGCTGACTTGTGTACTTACATTATCCCAAATGTTTCGAAGAATGTTTAAATCCAGAGAAATAAGCAATTTTAACTAGTGACACGGACTTTCCAGCCGTGTGTCGCGCTCGTTCACCGCCTCGTTTCGCTTCGACGGCTTTCAGCCTCACCCTGCTTCATTCTACTACGTTAATAAATCATTAGTTCATCCATGAACATGATTTCTGCCTGAGTCCCGTCGGATTGCATCGGCTGTGGGGATGTAGACCACAACTCCCATGATTCCACACTCAGTCACAGCGTCATCTAACTACACCTTTGTCTCTTTGTTTATTTTGAATACGCGCCCTCTAGCGGCGGAAATTACATATTGTGCCTTTAATTGATGGACTGAAGCAGTGTTGGGGAAAGTTATTTTTATAAGTAATTACTTAGTTACTTATTTGGAAACTAATGCATTATGTTACTTTTGCGTTACTTTTTGTCACCTGAGCTGGGCTTATTTTTTATCTTCTGGTGACTGTAAGATGAATACTCCTCCGTCTCTGTCTCTGCACTCACTCCTGATTTCTCTCAACATGAGGACAGGAGAGCCGTCAGTCGATACGTGGAGAACAGAGGAACTGCTGTTACTTATTTGAACCCAGATATTTTCTTGTAAATTAAAAAGTAATGCATTACTTTACTACTGTAGTTACTTGGAAAAAAAGTCATCTGATTATGTAACTCACGTTACTTGTAATGTGTTACGCCCATTACACTGGACCGGAGATAATTTGTGGATTATTGTGATGTTTTTATCAGCTGTTTGGACTCTCATTCTGACGGCACCCATTCACTGCAGAGCATCCATTGCTGAGACACTGATGCAGTGACACATGGCAACTCATCCTAATCTTGTATAGCCTGAGAGTGAACACATTTTCATTTTGGGGTGAACTACTCCTTTATCTCCATGAAGAACTCATTGTGTCAAATGCTCAGCTTTAGTTTGATTTGCAGTGATGTGGCAGTCAGTGATAATTTCCCTGTATCTGCACTAGACTGTGTTTCTCTGCTCCTGTAGGATTACAGTGGTTAGTTACCTCCATTAGCTCAGGGTCAGTCAGAGGTCTGCGCAGGAGCCGCTCTGTCCGGCTGTTAAATATCAAAGCTCAGACTCGGCAAGTCTGTACATTTTCAACATAATTACCACGTTTACTGGGTTTAGGGGTTTCTCGACTGGTGGCATCAGTCTAATGATAGTCGTAGAGCAGCGTTTTATTGATGCGCAAACCACACATGTAATCAAACACTCGTGTATCAGCATTAATCGGAGTTTAATTCCAGATGATCTGCGTCTGTGGACGAAGGTAAATGACAGCCGTGGTTTAGTAAATCCATAATCTGCCCATAAGAGGAGGCTAAATATAAGACAAATGAGACGTGATACGTGTATTAGCTGGACGTCCGCTCCGGTTAGCGACGCTGAGGTTTCTGTGGGTGAATGAAACGGAGCACTGCTTTATTTCTTTTATTGCAAACAGCAGCATCTGATTAATAATGGTGAAAAAATACTAGCGGAGACTGCAGTGGGTTTCCAATCACATGTTCTTTCACTGCAAAAAATGATTGTCTTCTTCAGTAATTTTGTCATGTTTTCCAGCACAAATAGGAAAGCAAGGCAAGTTTATTTATACATAGTGGTAATGCAAAGTGCTTTACAGAAAAAGTTTTCATAAGAAATATAAAGTTGTGCATTACTGTAAATATGAGGGACATAAAAGGAAATTCATAATAAAAAAATGCAAAAATAAAAAGGAGGATTAAAAATCTAAACATTCCTTGATAAATATAAATATTAATTAGGGAAACACACAACTTAATATATAAAGTCATTTTACTTCTTAAGTCACAGAGTATTTATTAAGTCTTGTTTTCTGAAAAATGTATCAGAATTTATGCATAAAACAAGAAAAATATCTGCCCAATTGGGTCGGAAAAATTCAAAGGGAAAACAAGACTCCATCAGCAGATGTTTGTTCTTGTTTTAAGCATAAACTCAATTTATTTTTCAGAAAGCAAGACTAAATATTTGACGCCATTTTGCATCAAATGTATCTTGATTTAAGAATGTTTAGATATTGTACTGGAAAACTAGACAAAAATATTAAAATCTTTTCTTTAGTGTTGTTTTATGGTTGGATCAGACTGAAAGGGATTATTAGTGATAAATCATTGTCTGTAATGGTTATAAACACAAAGATGCTTTGATGAGACAATATAGGATCAGTTTTTATCGACTTAAAAGTAGTTAATGCTCACTAATTGACTAGTTAATGCTCACTAATGGACTAGTTAATGCTCACTAATGGACTAGTTAATGATGTCTTTAGCGTGGCAGGATCTCCTGCGCAGAGTAACGTCTGCGCAAACATCTGTGCCGCCGCTGCGTTTATTTATCCAGCACGCGCCTCTCAGCTCCAGCTCAACATCTCTAATATAAATATTACGGTGTATGGAAAAGAAACTCTGTTTAAGATGTGCCATTTGCTCTAATAATCGGAGCGCCGCTGAAGGACACAGGCCACTTTCTGGGTTCTGGATGTCTGTGGAGCATTTCCACCTGACGGCATGAATGCGCTCAGTATGCGACGGGCCCTTAAGAAAACAAGCACGCTAAAAGCCTGAGCTCAGGAAGTTTTGAATAAAAGCTTTTAGGAGGTTAGCGGCTCTTATCTCAGCCGTCCATCGGCTCTTCGCTCTCTGCTCATTGACTTTGGCGAGTTCTCAACAACTCGCTCATCGATCAATACGGCCATTCAGCGCTGCGTTTCCAGTGTAACTCTGCTGAACTAGTACACAGCACATAGTACACAGCACATAGTACACAACACATAGTACACAACACATAGTACACAGCACATAGTACACAACACATAGTACACAACACATAGTACACAGCACATAGTACACAGCGCATAGCACGCAGCGCATAGTACGCAGCGCATACAGCACATAGTACACAGCACATAGTATAGTACACAACACATAGTACACAACACATAGTACACAACACATAGTACACAACACAGTACGCAGCGCATAGTACGCAGCGCATACAGCACATGGTACACAGCACATACAGTGCATAGTACACAGCGCATAGTACGCAGCGCATAGTACGCAGCGCATAGTACGCAGCACATAGTACGCAGCACATAGTACGCAGCACATAGTACGCAGCGCATAGTACGCAGCACATAGTACGCAGCACATACAGTGCATAGTACGCAGCGCATAGTACACAGCGCATAGTACACAGCACATTCAGCACATAGTACACAGCGCATAGTACGATGCAGTGTTGCAGAAATGAACTAGATAGTTGTGACTGTTTCTTGAAACCATGGTCACACCATCGTTTGAACCACATTAATTCCACAATCAATGAACCATTACCATTAACCATGTCATTAATGACATCACTAAAAATAAATAAGCAAGCCCAGCTCAGGTGACAAAAAGTAATGCAAAAGTAACAATGCATTACTCTCTAAAAAGTAACTAAGTAATGCAACTAGTTACTTTTTAATGGAGTAACCACATATTGTATTACTTTGAAAAGTAACTTTCACTAACACTGTAAATAAATAATTATATAATTGGAGTGTCTTGCTAATTGTGCCAAAAGCATGATCTCTATAAGTCCTGGTTATATTGACATGAATCTGTGTTTAACCGCTGGTCGAGAGCTGTAGTTCAATCACGCAAGTTTGTGCCGCTGTTTGTGAACACTCGTTGACACTATGATTTTTTAAAACTGAGTTCACTGGACTAACTTGGTTCAGTGTTACAGATGCATGATGGGTGATTGAAATCAGTGGTTATTATAGAATAAATCATCACGATCCTCCAGATTAGCTACTGATGGTTAATAATAATAATAATAAAGACAGCATTCTGACATTAGCAGCAACTGAACACCTGAACCTCAGCGAGGGGAAACACACACACACACACTAGTGATCTTGATCCATCAGAGTCTCTGACAGGAAGTTCATGATTCCCAGAGGCAAACAGGACTGTCATGTGACCAGCTCTTCCTGTAACGAGACAGACATGAAATATCATTGCAGTAATCTAACATTATAGACCGCTTCCGCACCGCAGGCTGTGTGTGTGTGTGTGTCAGACTGACTAACTTGAGTTCAGAGACTGAAGGTGGAGTGTTTGTGTTTCAGGTCACTTTCTGGGAAACAACACTGTGATTGACGTCCTGCGGAGTGAAGGTTATGAGGTGGAGCACACGCCTGCTGGACAGACGCTACACAGGTAACACACACTATAACACACACAAACTCAGACAAACGCACGCACACTGGTTTCCATGTTTTATAGCTCCATTCCATAGGCATAATGGTTTTTCTACTGTATAAACTGTATTTTCTCTCCTCTAACCCTAAACCCATCCCTCACACTAAACTACAGGCGTTTTAGACTCTCAAAACACTTTTGTGTGATTTATAAGCTTGTTTCCTCATGGGGACCAAAAAATGTCCTTCAGCTGCCTGAAGAACTGACAATCACTCTCATAATTAATAAATATCAGTAACACTTTACAGTATGATTCCATTTAACATTAGTTAACATGAACTAATTCTATAAATACTTCTAAAGCCAGCATCAATCTTAGCTACTGTTAATTTCAACATTTACTAATACATTATTCCAAAGTTGTCTCTCTTAAAATATTTAATGGAGCTGAGCTGACATGAATTAACAATGAATAATGAACTAACATTACCAAATGTGTTGCTCATTGTTAGTTAATTGTAGTTAATGCATTAACTAATGAGACATTATTGTAAATTGTTTGGATAATTACACTCTGGTGTGTTTGTGTCGCTGGTGTTTTGGTGTTTTTACTGCATGTGGTGTTGAGCGACGGATCTGCCATGTTGAAGTCTCTGTTTTCTGTGTTTAAGGTTTATTTTTGTCAAACGCTCCTTCGGTCTCAGACTGATGTTGCGTTCTGTTGAACTGCATTACTGTGCGTCAGCAGATGCGTGTATTTCATCACTTACGCTGGTATAACTGGCTGGGTTTCCCTAAAGAGGTTTACGGTCTGTTTATTTATTATTATTTTCTACTGATATTAACGGGAAATGATTTTCCGAGTAAGGCCAGTCTCTGGTTTGTTTAATTTCATTGTTTAGAACTGAAGCAGATGAGGAGCTGCTGAACAGAGTCTCATCTGCAGAATTATTAGTCTGCATTGTTTTTGTGTCTGTCCGCATGTTTGTCCCTCAAAAACAATCTCCAGTTCATTATCAGACGTCAGTCGGGGACAAACATGCATTCACTGCCGGTGATGGACTATAATATGCTAATCATATAATTGCAGGATTTCAAGCAGCAGAAGCAGTTTTTGCAGCAAAGAGATGTTTTAGAAGAGATGTGAAGAGCGGCTGCTTCGACAGCACAACATTCACCACCGCAGAAGATTGACATCGTTGTGTACACAGACACATTGCGTGCGTTTTCTCCGCATTATGTGATTCAAGAGAACCATTTTGATTTTTAACTATTCAGCTTACAAACACTATGACTCAAGTAACATTCTCTTTATGATCCATCTGGTTAAAGAAAACGTCTCTAGTTTACGCATGTAACCATGGTTCCCTGAGGGAACGAGACTGCATCGAAACGCATTGGGAATGCATTCAGAGTGACCACGCTCTGAATCACATGTGTAATCAGACCAATGGATGGGCGAGACGTCATGGGCGGGGTGACGTAGAGACCAGGAAGCCTAAAAGCACGTGTGGTAGATACAGCGGCAGCTTCTGGTAGAATGAGGGAAGTATTCGCAGGGATGCCGGAAGTATGGTAATGAGATGCAGCGTCTCGTTCCCTCGGGGAACCATGGTTACATGCGTAACCTAGAGACGTTCCCCGTCAGGAACTCGAGCTGCTTCTAAACGCTTTGGGAACGAGTGTGCCTATGCCGCCAGACTTTCAAATCCCTGCCTAGTGTGGAAGAGCACAACTAAGGAGAGAGAACAGAGGAGCTGGGAGTGGCATGAATATCGAGGTCATAAAACCTCACAAAGGTGAGCGGCATAGATTAGCCCGCAGCGTTGCAGATGTCCTGCATCAAAACACCTGACAGAAAGGCCTTGGAGGCCACCACACTTCGGGTGGAGTAAGCCTTGACCCCCGGAGGCGAGGGGAGATCAGAGGACTCGTAGGCTAAACAGATGGCCTCCACAATCCACCGGCTGAGGGTCTGTTTAGAGGCCGGAAGACCCTTCTTAGGGGGACCATAGCACACTAGCAGTTGGTCCGACCTTCTCCACAGGGCAGCTCTGTGGACGTATGCGTGGTGGTCAGGCTCCCGAAAGGGAGGAGGACAGAAGGCCTGCAGTACGATGGGCCGTGGTGCAGAAGAGGGGACTTTAGGAACATTTACATTTACATTTACATTTAGTCATTTAGCAGACGCTTTTATCCAAAGCGACTTACAGTTGGGGGTTACATAAAGCGATTCTTCTTAAGAGGCAAACAGACACAGGAAGTGGTTGTAATACCAAGTTCTTAGACATTGTTCAAATAAGTACAAGCTAGAAAGAGAAGGAATAAATAAAGAGAGAGAGTTATTTTTTTATTTTTTATTTATTTTTTTTTTATGATGAAGTCAAGTAGCTTCGAAAGAGATGGGTTTTCAGCTGTCGCTTGAAAATTGTCAGGGATTCAGCATTCCGTAACCCATACCTGGGGTATGGTAACATAACCCGTAACCCATAACATTACCCGTAACATAACCCAACCTGGGGTAGAGAAAAGCTTTGGCCAAGTCGGGCGCAAAATCTAAATAAGAGGAGGCCACTGAGAGGGCCTGCAGATCACCAACTCTCTTGATAGAGGAGATAGCCAGAAGGAAGGTAGTCTTGAGAGTGAGAAAGCGATCAGAAATCTCTTAAATAGGCGAAAGGAGGTTTACAGAGAGCCTCTAGCACCACAGCCAAGTCCTACGGAGGGGCACAAGATCGTACCGGAGGCCTCAGCCTCAGCGCACCGCAGAGGAAACGTGTAACCAGGGGGTCTCTGCCCACAGACTGACCACCGAGAGGGACGTGGTAGGCCACTATGGCCGCCACGTAGACCTTCAAGGTGGAGTAGGTCAACCCTGTGGAGAAACGGGCCTGCAGGAACTCCAGCACTGAACCAACCGGGCAATTAACTGGGTCAAGCTGGTGGTCTCCGCACCAAGAAGTGAAAAGCTTCCACTTCAATGCGTACAGTTTCCTCGTGGAGGGAGCTCTGGATTGGAGGATGGTCTCAACAAGCTCAGTTGAGAGACCAGAGGCTATGAGTCGTGCCCCCTCAGGGGCCACACCCACAGCTTCCACAACTCCGGCCGGGGGTGGAAGATGGTGCCCCCCGCCTGTGAGAGGAGATCCCTCCTGACGGGAATCTCTCATGGTGAGCCATCGAGAAGGGAAATCAGGTCCAAGAACCATACTCTGCCCGGCCAGAACGGGGCTACTAGCAGCAGACGGACCCCGTCCCGGCGCACTCTCTCCAGAACTCCCGGGAGCAGAGCAATAGGGGGAAAAGCATACAGATGAAGCCTCGGCCACGTCTGCACCATGGCATCCAGTCCGAGAGGAGCTGGATGAGTCAGAGAGAACCAGAGGGGACAGTGCGATATCTCCTGAGTCGCAAACAGATCCATCTGAGCCTGGCCAAACACTCTCCAAATCTGACCCACCACATCTGGGTGAAGCCTCCACTCCCCGGGCCTCGGACCCGGTCTCGACAGGATGTCTGCTCCCTGATTGAGATGCCCAGGGATGTGCACTGCTCTCAGCGAGAGGAGTTTCCCTTGGGCCCACACAAGGTTCTGGTGCGCCAGCCTGTAAAGGAGGCACGGACACAGACCTCCCTGGTGGTTGATGTTAGAGACCACCGCTGTGTTGTCGGTGCGCACCAACACATGGTGGCCTCTTAGGTCCAGGAGGAAGTGTCTCAGTGCTTGAAACACGGCCAACATCTCCAGGCAGTTGATGTGCTATGTAAGATGGCGGCCGCTCCACAGACCGTGGGCAGGGTGGCCACTCATGACCGCACCCCAACCAGTGAGGGACGCATCCGTCATTAGCTTTACACAACGACAAGGAACTCCCAGCACCGGGCCCTGTGACAAGAACCATGGTTTCCTCCACATGTCTAAGGCACGAAAGCATCGCCGCATGACATTGATCATGCGAAGCGGATTTCCCCTTGGGGGAAACCCCTTGGTCTTTAGCCACCACTGTAGGGGTCTCATGTACAGCAGGCCAAAAGGTATCACGTTGGACGCAGCTGCCATCAGACCCAACAGTTTTTGAAACTGCTTGACAGTGAGTGACCGGCCTTCTCTGACTCTCGCGACTGCCGTGAGGATCTATTCGATCTGAGCAGGAGACAGATGTGCCTGCATCGTGGTCGAATCCCACACCACGCCCACATAAGTGGTCCTCTGTAATGGAGAAAGCACACTTTTCTTGGTGTTTAGTCTTAACCCCAGCTCTTTCATATGGGCGAGAACGAAATCTCGATGCCGAACCGCTGTCTGCCGAACTATAATTGAGTATGCGGATGCCCTGGAGTTGCAGTGGAGCCAGAGCAGCATCCACACACTTGGTGAAAGTGCGGGGGGAGAGTGCAAGGCCGAACGGAAGAACCCGATATTGGTAAGCTTCGACCCCGAAAGTAAACCTCAGGAACTTCCTGTGTTCGGGAAGGATGGAGACATGGAAGTATGCATCTTTTAGATCGATCGTGACAAACCAGTCCTCGGACCTGATCTGAGACACGACTTGCTTGAGTGTGAGCATTCTGAACTTCAGTCGCATGACAATAGGCGCAGATCTAAAATGGGACGCAACCCCCCATCCTTCTTCGGAACAATGAAGTAACGG